GTAGGATAGGATTCTGGGCAGGATAGGATAGGATCCTGGATAGGATAGCATACTGGATCGGATAGCATACTGGATAGGATAGGATAGGATCCTGGGTAGGATAGGATCCTGGGTAGGATAGGATGCTGGGCAGGATAAGGTAGGATTCTGGGCAGGATCGGATAGGATACTGGATATGATGGGATAGGATCCTGGGTAGAATAGGATCCTGGGCAGGATAGGATAGGATACTGGGTAGGATAGGATTCTGGGCAGGATAGGATAGGATTCTGGGCAGGATAGGATAGGATACTGGATAGGATGGGATAGGGTCCTGGGTAGGATAGGATTCTGGGCAGGATAGGATGTTATATCCAATGCCTTGGAAATTGTTTTGTATCCCTCGTCTGATTGATACCTTTATGTTCTTTGCAGATCATATCTTTTGCTGTAAGAGGCAGCTGAGTAAAATATCAGAAAAATAGCTGAACTTTATATGGGCTTGATCAGAGTCACTTTAATTGATGCCATGTGTATACTGACTACTATTTAAAATCCATTTGAATGTTCGGTTAATTCTGACCACAGTCACATCCCTACTTATACGAGGGTATGCACACCTTATGCAACTACATTTATTTTTATTTTCCCCCCTAAAATATTTCAGATTTTTTTTTTTCAATTCAGTTGTATACTTTATATGTTATATTAAAGTGGGGGAAAAACCTGAAGTGTTTTATCTTGGTCTGATTTTTCTACATCTCAAAAGGGGTGTGTAGACTTTTGATATCCTAGACCAGTGATGGCTAACCTTTTCCTTGTTGCGTGCCAAAAGCGTGCCCATGCGCGTGCGTGCCTGCACCCATAATGCAATGTGCAGGCAACCCCCCACCTCTGCACATGTGTGCGCAATCCCTGTGTGTGCACTGCATGCCTTTGTGCATGTGCGCATAATCCCCCCACACGTGCCCTGCCCCTTGCACATGTGTGCACATCTCCCGCATGCGCATCTCCCCCGTGCATGCGTGGCAGATACCCAACAATCAGCTGGCTGGTGGGGGGGCGTGCATGCATGTGCAGTGGGTCTGTTCTGGGTGACCTCTCGTGTTCCAGCAGAAAAGGCTCTGTGTGCCACTTCTAGCACTCGTGCCATAGGTTCGCCATCATGGTTCTACACCAAGGGTCTTCAAACTGGGCAAGTTTAAGACTTGTGGACTTCAACTCCCAGATTTCCTGAGCTAACATGACTGGAGGAGGAATTCTGGGAATTGAAGTCCACAAGTCTTAAAGCTGTGAAGTTGGAAGACTCCTAGACCTAGATGGATGGATGGATGAATAGATGGACGGATGGATGCATAGATAGATGGATGGATGGATGGATGGATGGATGGATGGATGGATAGATAGGTGGATGGATGGATGGATGGATGGATGGATGGATGGACAGATGGATAGATAGGTGGATGGATGAATGGATGGATGCATAGATAGATGGATGGATGGATGGACGGACAGATGGATAGATGGATGAACGGACAGATGGATGGATGGATGAATGGACAGATGGATAGATAGGTGGATGGAT